GAATTATAAACAAGCATAGAGGATTAAATAAAAAACAATTGTCCTGTGTAATGATACGTTTATCACAAGGGAAAGGAAATCACTAACAATGTGACTTAAATCTTTGAAATTATTTCATTTCCCATGGATGTAACAAGTATCTGAATTTCTAAAATTCCAGGTTGTACATTAATAATATATTTTAAAATCCACATATAAAAAGATAAACTGAAAATAAACACTGGATTAGGCTTTGAATCTGGTTACATATACTCTCCTGATTCCCATCATTCTGACTCACCACTCTCAGAACAGAATTCCAGTCAGTATGTAGACAAACTAGCCCCAGGACTGATCAACAGCTAGCAACCAGGTGATATCACATTTTTGTTTTGAATTTTCCATAAGATAACAACTGCATTGTTGAGGAAGTGGGTCTCATGGTCTAGCTTGAAAAACCAAAAGAGAAGTCCAAAGTACAGTTTAAAATGACTATTCTAAAAGTGACATTGAATTTATATTTTTGGCAGGTAAAATACCAAAGAGCTTCTTTATTTCTAGATATCCACACTTTTGACAATAAGTCATTCATCAGTCTTTTTAATGTTTAAATTTCTTTAAAAATAGTTTCTTTACAATTGTGTAGATCTGTTTTTATTACCTAAGGCATCAAATTAAATAAATATGGTTTATATAATCAATGTGGATGTTGATCAGCAGACATAAGGACCAAGTGCACTAAGAGGAAGGCCATGACATAACTAGATCTTCTAGGTTTCAGATCACCTGTTACTTGTGAACTTTCTGGTGTCATAAGACCTAGCCTGGCCCTGCTGAAACCTTTTTATAGTTTCTAAGGGACTTCACTAACTATTAGACTTAGACTCCATTCCTCACCCACTTCCTGACACTTCTATAAGTCTTGTGAGATTTCAAATTGCTGGTATTCAATTAATGAAGTCAATTATATTATTTAATGCCACAGAAAACATTTGTGAGATGTGCTGTATGTGCCAAGCTGTGTTTTTTTTTTTTTTTTTTTTTTTTTTTTGGCTTAAGTTTCTAAGTTACTCCAGCACAAATGAGCAGATCTCAGAAAAAGAATGCAATCAGAAGTTGCAAAATTGTATTAGAACTAGAGTGCTCAAGGCAAAAAACTTCTGGTGTTGGTTGTGGTAAAAATACCACAAATAGCTCCAATGTCAAATCACAGTGAAGGCTTGCTTTTGAAAGCATAAAGGTACTTCTCAATTAATCTTGGTATTTTATCCAGTGACAAGGACTAAACTGTCTTTGAGAGAATAAGAAGCATATGACATCTTACAGTTATATTATGAAGTTATATTTGAGAAACAAAGGGATTCAAAACACCTTTTAAAATCAGAAGTTCTGTTGACTTCTGAGGATGTCAGTCTTCCACCTGCTCATTTGGGGTTTGTAACTCCAAAGTAAAAGTGAGGGGTATCTTATGACTTCCTTTTTCTACCTGCTTCAGGCAATGCCTTTGGAATTTGGAACAGGAGCCTGTTTTGATAGCCTATTTATAAAGAAGTAAGAGTGACTATGCTTCACATTTTATTTCAAAAATTTCCTGACATGTTTGCTGGATTATGCAGGAATTAAACCCCTTTGAAAGTGTGTGGTAGGGATTTTACAGGTATAAACTTAGCATCACTGATATAGTCTACACCAAAGAAGCAATTTGCCAAAATCTCTTTCTAGGATTTTGGTTCTAGCAAAGTCCACATATAATTTACCAATTGCAGATGGGGAAAAGGAAGGAAGATCTAGTGAGTTCCATTAATTTAAGAAAAAAGAAGCATTCTTTTAGTTGCAGTTTGCATATAATTGGACATTTTTTAATAACATGCTATAAACTCATATTAAAATAATTTGAATAGACTTGACTAATTCATTTCACCCTTCATCACTCTTAGAACATATGGCTCCTCATCCCCCAGTATTTTTACTAACAAGGACTATTGCTCTAACATAACAGGTATTGAATAAATGTTTGTTGAAAAAGTGGATTTTAATAAATTCTGAATATCAAGACCAATAATATATATTTGAAAATATATTTTAAAATCTAAAACCAATTTATTAATCTATAGGAAATAAATCATGATATATTTTTCTGCTTAATGAAAACTAAGCCAGATTTTGCCTAGAAGTCATCTACTAGAGTGTAAAAATTTCAAAGGACATAACAACAATCTCTTTGCTTCTTCATTAATTTCTGAACAGTGTCACCTGGAGTGTGTAACATATATGATTACACTGTAACATATATGTTTGTGAAGATTTTATCACTTGAAGAAATAGTAGTTTCACATTTTATATGTGGCTGGAAAAATTAGAAAAATCTAATTTCATCACAAAGAAAAGACCTTCAACAAGTAACTATATTATTCAACCAAATAAAAGACATGAGACAAACGGGTTTTATCAATGTCTTAATGATTGGGGATCAAGGAATGAGAAAAACTTAAGTAAAATTTTCTTTGACTTTCTTCTCCAAAAAGAAATCAAGGATGACAAAGGACATGTGCAAGTTGCTCCAAACACTTGACTCGCAAATCAGTTTGACCTGGATTATAACTGGGAATTAAGCCCCATTTAAAGGTATAAGACTGAAGCTAAAACAACAGGGTGTGGAGCAGGAAGGTTTGCAATAGAAAGTGAATGAGTAAGAGCTGTGTGTCAAAAACTCTCATTTATTTGGTTAGGTATATTATGGAGTGATACAACAGCTGAAGGTCAGGTTATTGTGTGTGGTACAAAGATCTTAAGTATCCCAACTGGCTGCATCTGACTTGATACCCACTTCTAAAAGTTTAGAATAACCATAGCACTTTCCTGGTATATGAGCAGTTTTTTGTTGAACAGAAGGGCTATTATTGGGGAAAAATTTTCAGATGGGAACACTGTGCTCCCTTTCAGCTTTTCTGGGAAAGGAAGTAACAATAAAATGATTCCATCATTAGTAGTATTTGCAATTTTGATCTAATAATTTCAAACTACAGTTTTAAAAATTATTCTCTTTTTTAATAGACCACATCTTAAGATCATAAAACCATTTCAGATTTTAGGTTTGGAAAATTGAGTACCCAATACTGATCCTTTCCTAAAATCTGCTATTCTCTAGTGTGTGGTAAGCTTGTGTTTGGTGTGTGGGCGTGAGAGAATATAGGAGTTATTATTTTTTAAAATATATAACCTGTGTATGTAGTTTGTGGAAAATATTTAGGGGTTGTTTAGGTGTGTGGAAATTCAGAATTGAAGTTGTCATGGTTGGAGCGATAATTCTTCTTAGTAGGGCAGTTACTTTGTACACCAACTGAACAGACAGAAGAAAAAAGCTCTTTCTTGCAGGCATCCTTTGGGAACAAAGCTACAAAACATAGATCCAGCCAAAAATTAAAAAAGCAACCTTTTGCTGGGCACAAAGGTACATGCCTATAATCCCAGCAACTAGGGAGGCTGAGTCAGGAGGATAGCCAGTTCAAGGCCAGCATAGCAATTTAGTGAGCCCCTCAGAAATTCTGCAAGGCCCTGTCTCAAACTAAAAAAGAAATAAAAAGAGCTGGGGATATAGCTCAGTATTAAAGCATCCTGGTTTCAATCCCTAGTACCAAACAAAACCCCCAAAAACCTTCTTGCAAAAATACAGCTGAATTGAAGGTAAAATATTCAGAAATTGGATTATCATCGTACCCTTCGATTTTGCCCCAGCCAGAGGTGGCTTTTTCTCACTTTCCCATACTCCAGTGTTTTAAGAATAACCTCAGCGTGCTTCACATGTAGACATTTCCAGAGCTTTTAATGGTCCAGTAAACATGGAACACATACTTCTTTTATATGTTTGTATGAAGAAACAATAGCCTCTTGTCATTTTCTCTTTGGGCCTATGCTCTTTAGATTGTATCAGTAGGGGGAAAAATTAAAAATCAATCACTAAAAAACTGTAACCTTGAAGATAACTCAGGATATACCACCAAGATTTGAGCACCCCCACCCCATCTGATTAACCCTGGCTAATCATTCAAATGGAACCTTCCTGCCTTCATTACTGCTACCTATACTAGAACAAACCCAAAGCTCCTTCAAGGTTAATGATAATGGTTATAAATAGCCCAGTGGTGGGGGTAGGGAAGGGGTAGGAACCAACTGCATTGTGGAAGAGCTGCCAAGTAAACATGTTTTCCCCACATCAAGTTCTCATAGAAAATTTTCCATTTGGAGGACTTTCTCTAGATCAAGCATTTTTAAAGTTCAATTAAATAAAATTTTAAGGAACTGAGTTCTACAATATATTTCTATTCATATTTCTAAATACTCAACTCTAAAAGACATAAAAAAAAGTAGTGATGCAATCACTGGATAGCAAGGCATGTCCACATTTCAAATAGTCATAAATCATGTGAAATGATATAACGATAGAAGGTCAAAAATGTGAAGCAGGTTTATCATAATCATATTGCATTGGGAGAAAAAAAAAAAGCAGAACACGCTATTTAGTTACCTAAATTGATTTACAGGAAAAGGGTTTCCTAGAAGTCCTCCGATGAACCAAGTGCAGATAATCTGCAGGTGGGGAGTGCATGTCTTATTTCTATCTATTCCCTTGAATAAGAGAATATGAGGTAATCAGAGAGTTAGGCAATGCAATCTGAACTATTCTGCTAAGTGTCCCAGGCAAGTCAAATCAAAATGCTTCAGAAAAGTAAGGCCTAGTTGAGTGTTTGGGTAGAGGCCCCCCTTCGATCAGCTAATTGCTAAATGGAAGTCCCACTATACACTTATTCTGTAGAGATGGATGGATCGCACTGTAGAAAAGGCTGGTTTGCTGAGGCTGTGTCTCTTCCACCTTTACTCAGCCTTCTCTGCATTTACCAAGTTAGGTCCTCAGAGTGGTGAAGGAAAATAAGCCATTTTCCTTCATAAGTATCATTGGAAGATTCCTCTATATTAATTGTATGAACCTTAGAATACTTACAGATTTTTTTTAACTTAATTTTTTTTTTCGTTTCAAAGAGTTCTCAGTCCCCACCCCACACGAGGGATCGTGAAGGGGCACTAAAGTGCATTTTGATGTAGGGGATGGTAGAGTTTAAAGGTGCTGTCCAAGCTAAGAAACAAGATGATGCTGTTTAGAAAAGAAAGGCAATTCCTTCTACCTCCGTCTTAGGAGTCATCTGAGGGAGGGCAGTGAACTGGACCCTCACCAGAGGATTGTCCTAACTCTGAAAGTTAGAGAAAACTGTGTAAGGACCTGCACATATAGACTCATTTATTTGTCCAAAATAGCAAAAATAGGCCTATTTCACCCTTAAGAAAGTATTTGCAAATCTGATGAGTCAGGATCATAAAAACGTGAGTGGATTCCAGATGCAATCCACGTGGGCATGCTCTGTGGCGCTAGCTATGCATCTTCAGCTTGAATGAACATGCTGCTGTTCCTTTTCATCAAAACATGACTTCTGAACTACCATAAATAAAATACACATGAAACAATTAAAATTTTTTTCTTACAATAATTACTTTTACATTAAAAAGTCACCATCATCTTCAGATATATCGAAAATTAGGACTCTAAATCTTATTATTTTCCAGTCTCAGTTTACAATCTTGCACAGGCCCGATAATCCAAAACTTGGAGCTCTGTTCTGCACAGCTTGGCAGGTTTCACACAGTTTGACAGGTAGGCAACTGTGAGATATGCATTTTTAAAATTTAGCATTTTCTATCAAAACAGTCTGAAATCTTAAAATCCCCATAGTGACTGTATTTGTGCAATGCCACAGTCATGTAGCTAGAAAGGAGAAAACAAAATACAGTCTGGAAGATTAATCACAGTCCAAGTTTTCTTGGTCTTCAGTTTAAACAATGATGAGCCCAGGAAATCCAATTAAATACAGTGCCTTAGATAGGAGAAGAGTTGGTCCTGGAATAGAATAATTTAAGCTCTACTAAACAGGGACAGTCTCAACCACGGGAGATTTGATACACTCTTCGTGCAATCTGCTCTTTTCTGCAAGGCTCAAAGAATTTTCAGCAGGATGCTCCGAAAGGTGACTATCACCATTCAAGGTGGGGACAAACCCTTCCTGGGAAGGGCCTTTCAAGTATGAGTGAAATTCCACTTGAGGATGATTAGACCTGTGTTCGGGATATAAGCTATTGCAGGGCACCCCGCTATCATTTTCGGAAGAGGAGCAGCAAACGATTACAGAGGGGTTGGCAGCTGGGTAGTGGGAGGCACCATAGGCCTCTTCCGCTTGTCGGGCATAGTCAACGAATTGCTCTGGGGTCATGGTGTAAGGCACCAGCGAAAGGGTACCGTTTTTGACAGTATCTCGTTCTGAGTAGTTCTCAGCTATCTGGTTAGCAGTTCCTGGAATGTGGCTATCGATTTGGTAATACAGAGTTGAAGAGTTGGCATAAAAAGAAGCATTTTTTGCGTGGCTTTCGTGAACAGCAGTGCCATCGGAATAACAAAGGACCGAAGGAAGAGGGACCACTTCAGCATGAGTGCCCAGACCTTCCACGAAGCCGTCTCCTTTATCATCGTCGTCATCTTCCTCCTCCTCCTCTTCCTCCTCCTCCTCCTCCTCGTCTGACTCGCTAGGCGCCAGGCTTTGGGTGCTGGAATCGGTGACTCCACTGCAAAAGCTGCTCCCATCCTCCTCCTCTTCCTCTTCCTCCGCTTGGCAATCTAATTCCTCCGCAGACTGCAGGTGCAGCACTGCAGCCTGGGGTTCAGTTTCAATCTCAAAATTTTCTGCGATAGAATATTCTACGGAGTGAGCGACAGGGCCCATGGAACTACTGTGAGCACTTATCTCACCGTGGCAGCCGTTCAGCGAGGGGATTTGCTGCTCTCGGTTTTTCTCCAGTTCAAGTTTCATTATTGTGTGCAAAAAGTGAGTCCGGACACGGATAGGATTAAATTCAATTCTACCTGCTGTGTTACTACAACCTTCTTTAGTGCAGCCACACGGGAAAGACATACGATCCACCTTAGAAGGAAGAACACAGATTAGCACCATGGACCTATTACAAGCCAAATAAAAATTTGGTTCCTTCCAGCAACCCCTTTGAATTAAGTAATCCACTTAATTCCACTATATCAGAGCAAATAATAATAAAACTGCAAATAGATTTGAGAAGGGGAAGTGAAGTCTTAAATCATAAAGAGTTAAGTAGTTTCTAAACCTATATTTAAGATAAAAGTAGAAATTTGGTATATGTGGGCATTTTTATTTCTTTGATCTTATCACCTCCAGTGCCTTCTTTACTTCTTTCTCCATTCCCTACATTTCTTTTCTCTTTATGCCTTTAATTTTGCTCTCATTTTTCAATGCTTCTATTCTTCCTATAATCTCCCTTTTTTTTTTTCCTGCTGGATTCCAGGTCACCTACCAATTTTAAACACACAAACTTATAGTACTTCTTCCCACCTGCTATTTTTTTTTTCATAGTGCTGGGATTAAACCCAGGGCCTTGTGCATGCCAGGCAATTACTCTACCAACTGAGCTATATCCCCAGCCCCCACCGGCTATCTTTAATTTAACCTACATGATGTTCCTCATGCTACCTATATTCTTTTCCCTTTGCTCATTGTGAAATGAACTTCACTCTCAAAGATGTCCAGGTTGACACCACTTAGCATCATGCAGTATTATAATTCATTCTCATTGGTTCAACTTGATGCATGGGTGAATGTGAGCATACTGCAAAGATGCAGTGGGTATACACACTGGCAAATGCGTTTAGGTCCTGGTCTCCCCTTTTCTTTCCCACTCCGTCAGACTACAGGCTTTTTGAGGGAAGGAGATGTATGTACGTTACATCAGTATCTCAGAATTACTTGAGTGATGGGCTCTAAGGAAAGAGTGATTGCATTAACCAAGGATTTTGGACTGACCTCTTTACTCAGGTGGTAAAGTGGAAATCTGGGAAACCCATAGGTACTCCTAAGATATTTGCCAACTGTCTCAGATTCTACAAATCAACCTGTGTGCAAACCAAAGTACAGACAAGAAAAAAGCTTGCTCTGCTTCCCATCTTATCCAAATACAGGGAATACACTATGCTACAGAGGAGATTGCCAAGTTAGTGTAGTTATCTCAGTCCCAATGAAAAGCAGTAGCAAATGTCAGTGGCAGAATCTGTAGCCATTTTCTTATGAACCTCTTTTCTGTGGATCCATCCTAAGCTATATTCATTTAAGGGGAACTGTTCTATTTTACTTGCAGGAAGGACTCTCTTTATTGAAAAAGCTGTGTCTGCATAAAATAATAGCAACTAACCACAGACCACCAATGATGTTAGAGATAAATGGGACCTGAGAATTATCTAGTTCAGAGGTTGTAAACCTTTTCTCCCACTTTTAATTAGTTTTAACCTTTAAGTTTTTAGAAGTGTAATCAACTAGGTGAGATTGGTAGGGGATATTTTCCAACACTTATATAAACTTAAATTTTAGGCTCTTCTTAGGAGTAAAATAGGCTTTTCACTGCTGTATTCCCAAGTTGCCAAAAAAAAAAAAAAATCTCTCTTTAGGTTTCCCCCCTATATTCCTCTAACCAATCTTGCAGTATAGGGATACTTGAACACTTTTTGTTGTTGTTGTTGTTTTGCTAAAAAAAAAACCTTAACAGCTGGGAGTAACTGTAATAACTTTTCTTTCCCTACAAAGGGCAAGAGTTTAAATATTTTAGTCTTTCTTGGCCTTATGGTCTCTGTGCTACTACTCAGTTCTGCAGCAGAAGCTTGAAATTAGTCATAAATAATAGGGTAAATAAACAAATAAACTGGCAGTGTTCTAATAAACTTTGTTTATGAAAACATGTGTTTGGCTGGATTTGGTCTGTGAGTTGATAGTTGGCCAACCTAACATAGTCCAGCCCATTCATTTTAAAGATGAAAAAACAGCACAGAGAGTTAACCTGGCTGGACACTTTCCTATAATCGACAAATAGCAAAAATAGTCTAGTCATGCTTGCACTAGTCCACACCACCTTTAATCCATCATTCACTTCACACCCCATACATAGATCAGAAAATATAAACTCAAATATTAGGATGCCAATAGTTTCCAGAATAAGCTGGTGGAATCAATGAATCCAAGAGGAAAAAATCTCTACCATCTGAGTTACCTTTACATTGTATTTCATATATATATAAGCACTTTGCAAATGTCCTGGAATTAACATTTCTCATTCCCTGAACTACACATCTTGCCTTTCCACAAATTTTCTTTTCCACATGCAAAACGTTATTTGCAACACTACTTCTTTACCGGGTGGTGTATAATGCTTTGTCTTTGGATGCCCTGACATCCACACCTTACCTGACATTTAATGCCTGCCAAGCTGCAGGTACATGTTTCTGGATCACAGAACACTCTGCAGTCGCAGCCACAGTCCTCCCGTGACAGGCGGATGGCTCGAAGCTCGTGCTTTTCTTCCACATCAATCTTCTTCACTCCAGAGGCTCGCAGCAGTGCTCTTCGTTTTTTTGTTGGTAGGGGTTGTAGAAAGAAGTACTCGTCTACTTCTGTGTTGTCCAAATCAATATCATCATCGGAAATGTCATCCACTGTAAGAGTGCTAGCTTCCTCAGATTCTACTGTGCCATTCTTAGTCATCTAGAAACACAGGGAAGTACATAAGAGATGGAGTTCAAGCAGGGTCCAAAGTCCCCACCTCAGCACTTGGGAAGAGTGAGCTAGTATATATCATCATGTCCCCACAATCAGTAAGTGTGTGTGAGCTCAATTGTTTGCTTTTATTTTTCTCATTAGGCGAAGTCACAAAAAGGAAAACCGAGGCATGGAAATTATGTGCTTTTAAAAATGTACTGGTTACAAGAGATGGATACTTGGAACTCTCAGTCTCCTATAGTCAGTAGTTACTGTTAGAGCTTGAACCAGAATGATAAGAAAAAGACCGGAAGTTCCAGATGTTGTCTTTAGATTCAGTTCAAAATGGGTAGCTCTGGTGTTGGAGAAAGAATGTCCTGGTTCAGAAGTGAGAGCAACTTAGTGGATGCCATCACCAACCAAGTCAGTAAATATCTTGTCCTTGAGATAACCACTCTGACACTTTGGGATTTCAGCAAAACCATGCACTCAGGAAATAAAGTTGTGCTGTGCTATGCTATTGGGATTATAAACATGATTACGCTATAGAACATTCCAAGGAATTGATATGAAGCAATCAGTCAGGTCAGTATGCTCTCAGAGAACAGTGCGGGTGCATGCTCATCAACTGACAACTGAAATGACAAACCAGGTTCCCAAAGGAGTTTGCCCAAAGCCATACCTTCTGCCTAACAGCTCATGTGGACGGCCATGCCTCACATACCCAGGAGTTGTTCTGCTGCTATTTATATTTCTTTTCTAAATTAATCTCATCCATCAGTAAGCCCTGAATCAGTATTTCATTTCTGAGTATTACACCACAACATATAGTTTCCTTCATAAAAAAGGATTTAGAAAGAAAAGTTTTCTCTGAATATGATCAAGATATTTATTCTTAGGAGCAGTGCAAGAAAAAAAATGTAGAAAATCCATAAGAGATAAAGCATGGGATAACTAAATAAAGAAGCTATTTGGATTATTTAATTTTTAAATTTATTACTTTCTAAATTTCATTCATTGTAACTATTACCTTGCTTAGTAATCTTCACACTTCATCCATTAAACAGTTAAAATACCCTGGTGATATTAGACACCATTCTCATCCTCAAAAGAAAATGTCCAATATTTAGACAAGAATATTTATTACTGTAAAAACCCCCCAAGATGGACAACTGTGAATGTATTAAAGAACAAATAGAATATTGGACTTTGCCGTCAGGTGGAGAAATTTTCACCAAGGAATCACCACAGTATTAAGTGCATATTCCAATATATTACAAAGGGTCCCTAAGATGTATTTGCAAAAACTACTAAATTATATTTCTGAATATTTCAGAACTTAAAATCTATGATCTTACCAAGATTAGCATTCCCCTTTACCAGGCTATGTTGTTAGTATGATCCTCAGTTCATTTCTTCTGTTGGCATTGTGTATTGGTTAAACTATGACATCCATTACTAAGATGTTACTTGGATTGGTGGTGGTTATCACTTTTGTTCATTCTTACTAACAAGTTGCACATTTCTATGTGTAAAGATCTAATTTTCTAAGAAATTCAAGTGTATAATTGCCTCACATGTCCAATCTTCTGTGACAGGCAAAGCTGCATGAACAAGTAGGGAATGTTCCCTTTCCCATCTTGTCATTCTGTGGCAATAGATTTATTTTAATTAATTCTTGGCTTGCTTATGTGAACCTCAGCAAGCTTCTCAGTTCATGGCACATGTAGACACTCAGCACTTGGCTAGCACGACTCATTTCAATCCTTCCTCCCTACTTCATCTCCGTGTTCTATAATATTTAGGCTTTCTTGTGCAATTGGTAATGTTATAACACCAATGAGATCTCCAACTTATAACAATGGGTTTGGAGGTACAAAATAACAATAGTTGTTATCAGACAACACATGAAATCTAAAAATCAAGAAAAAGTAAGAATTTTGTCAATATATAAAAACATATAAAAATTTAAGGCAACATAAACCATGAATTGGCTGGCATCTCAGAACTAAGAAACAAACAAATGTATCTCAAATTTAACTACAGATACAGTTTACTCCAAATATAAATGTCTTTAGAAATAAAATCTGCATCTCTTATTTACAAGTTCTAGAATTATTCACTTATTATAATTTTATTTTAAAATAAAGATTCAAGTAAGAATCTAAAAGTCCTTCACATACAGCTATATACTATTTTCACTCTTGTTCAATAACCTACAGGGATTGAAACCTAGATTTTTAAAATCTCATGTTAATGTTGATGTGCTCTGGGGCAAGGTTTTCTCCTCACCTCTTCAGCATCATTTCTAATGAAGACTGGGGATATTCTACCTCAGTCTGGTCAATTGACTTGTCTTCCTCTTCTTATGGTTCCTGGTTGGTGTTGCTTCTGAGACATTCCCTACTATGACCTTGCATAGACCGATTGTGCCTGCTGGTTTCATTAAAATCCAGGACTAGACTACTGAGTTTAAATGCTCTTCAATATTGGAGTACTAAAATAGTACTTCCAAATGTATCTTCCCATATGGGAGCAATAGGAATAAAAGTCAAAGAGCTCCCTATTCTTGTCTACCAACTTACATTTGTTATTCTCTAAAGATCTGGTGTAAAGGAATCCAGGAAGTCTTCCAGGATTGACTCATCTACTCATGCCAGACTCTTTATCCATGTCTATCGTCATGCATAAGAACATTCATGTTGTACAACATTGGTTCTCTCCTGTCATGAATGCTACCTTTAAATGCTTTTTTTCCCATCTCAAAATAGAATTATTAAAATTTCAGATTTTAATTCATCAAAAGCAGCCTCCTTATTTTATGCATCAATGAAGCTCACTCAGAGTCATTTTGATCTCTCCAGGATGTACTTATAGGATATAATTCCCTGTTTCCTATTTTAATGTGCTTCTCCCTACATGTCATAAATTATAAGTTTCTTATTGGTACCTACACAATGCTGGGAGTCTAACATGGAGTCAAACACAATGTATCTAAAAAGCTATTTCATTTATAAAATAACATACCCTGTAACCTGCATTTTCAAATGCATGCCTACTTTTGAGGTAGAAATCTTCAATCTAGGACTTGGACCATTTCTCACTTTGTGTTCTTTCTCCAGAAATAAGGTTGCCTCCCAGTAGCTCAAAAAAAATTTACTATTAAAAAAATGTGGTTTAGGAACACTATCAAATAATTATGGCCTTTAAATGTGCTCTTGTCTTCATATATATGCATATGAAAGAAAGAGAAACTGGAGGTAGAGATGAAAGAGGTGGCAGAAAAAGGTATGGCATATAATAATATTAATAACAGTTTTAATTTTGTGTGCCAGAAACTGTTCTAAACACTTAACCTGATTAGCTCGTATAGCAACACAAAAATCTTATGTGATATATACTATCATTATATCCATTTAACTGATGAGGAAATCAAGGTACAGGAATGCTAAACATGCCCAACATCACAAATACATAGTGTATACATTAAAGTCATGATCTGAGATATTTGACTTTAGAGCTTGTGCTCCCTAACAGCATTGATATATATATATTTTATATGTATATTATATATATATATATAATAGATTCTTTTATATAATTAATATTTATTGAATAGTTAAATAGTAGTTAGTGATTATTTTGTATGAGCCACTAGGTATAGGTATATATGACAAAGACCTTAATCTCAACGGAGTGGAATAATGAGTCAAGGAATCTGGCAATTTCAACCCAGCTTGTAAGGATTTCCTAGCTTAGGGTGAATACAGCATTTGAGGAGCACCTACAGGTAGGGCTGGCAGTGGAGTGAAAAGGGAAAACTTCCAGATGAAGCTTAAATCTGAAGGTGAATGGGCAGTCAGAGGAACAGTGGAGACAGAAGGCCTCACTCCCCCAGCCTGCTCTGGGACAGAACACGATGGATTCTTTGACCTACAGAGCATACAGATGATTGGACTTTGGTGGAATCACTCTCCATAAAGAAAGAACTAGAGAGAAAGAAATAGCAGTTCTTCAGAGTAGCTCCTGTTTATCTGTCTTAGCCAATGAAAGGTGGTAAGTGATAACTTGACTCATGATTTGATCTAATGATCTTTATCTCATATTTTTCCTGTATGTGTATACATTTATCTATATTGTACTGTGAGGATCTTAAGAGGCGTGTGTGTGTGTGTGTGTGTCCTTGATCCAATGACAAAACTGAAGATGGCAATTGTTTCTTGGGCTACTGGGTAAAATTGTCTGGACTCCCTCTCCACATATTAAAATATAACTTGTTTTAGACAGAATCCTAACATCTTACTTTTGCAAAATTGTACCCACTGATAAGCATGAGAAAGTAATTTCTGAAAACACAGTTTTGCCCACGTATACACTCCTGAGGAATAGGATGTATTATTGTAAGAATCAGTGGAATGACTCCAAGACTATCAAATAACCAATTCAATGCAAAATGGGTAACAATACTGAAAATGTAGATTGACTAAAATGCTAAAAAAAGAAACAAAGCAAAACACAAAAATAGATCCAGTTCCTTTCATCAGTGAAGTTGTATATTTAGTAGTAAAGTCTCCTGTTTCTTAAAAAATATGAGCACGTGTAAAAATGAGAATGGATATAAGAATGTGCAAATGAATTCAGTTCCACAAACACTGATTACTCCCTATTGTAACAAAGATGATGATGCTGAGGAAGACCTGAACTACCATATATTGAATACCAGGTGCTGAGTGTCATACTTTGTACAAATTATCTCACCTAATTTGTACAATGATCTTATGAATTTTTTTTTTTTTTGTACTTGGGAAAACTGGTGCATGGGGAAGGTTAATTTACCAAAGTCTATCTAAATTAGCTAATTCGTGATGGTACTAAGCATCGAACTCAGGTTTATTCGACTTCAAAGCATGAGGCTGGTTGTCAAGATCAGTTTGGAGTAAAAAGTATTAAGAGTTATAGTGTCACAAGCCATCTATGAGCTGCGTGTGTGAGCTATGTGCACTTGA